GGTCTCGATCTCCTGACCTCGTGATCCGCCCGTCTCGGCCTTCCAAAGTGCTGGGATTACAGGCTTGAGCCACCGCGCCCGGCCTGACTATCTTGATTTTTTTAAAGCCAGTTCTGCTTGTCACAATGCTGACAGAGAAAAATATTTATATGTAAAAGAGAAAACAATAAGCATAGAAGAAAATACAGAATATTTGTATAAGCTTATGGATGGGGAACATGTTCCAAAGTAAAAGGAGAAACTCAGCCAGGCGCAGTGGCTCACGCCTGTAATCCCACCACTTTGGGAGGCCCAGGCAGGTGAATCACTTGAGGTCAGGAGTTTGATACCAGCCTGACCAACATGGTGAAACCCCATCTCTACTAAAAATACAAAAGTAGCCAGGTGTAGTGGCACATGCCTGTAATCCCAGCTACTTGGGGGGCTGAGGCAGGAAAATAACTTGAACCCAGGAGGTGGAGGTTGCAGTGAGCTGAGATTGCACCATTGCACTCCAGCCTGGGCAATAAGAGCGAAACTCTGTCCCCACGCCTGCAATAAAAAGGAGAAACTCAGAAATCATAAAGAAAAAGATAGATATGTGTATAGGTGTGCAATCAAATGTTTAATTTTGATAGGACAAAACAGATCCATCCCATAAGCAAAGCCAAAAAACAAAAGATCAACTGGGAAAAACATTTGCAGTACATATGATAGAAAGGAGGCTGGTGGCTGGGTGCGGGGGCTCCCGCCTGTAATCCAAACACTTTGAGAGGCTGAGGTGGGTGGATCACTTGAGGTCAGAAGTTCGAGACCAGCCTGGCCAACATGGCAAAACCAGGTCTCTACAAAAAATACAAAAATTAGCTGGGCATGGTGGTGCACGCCTGTAGTCCCAGCTACTTGAAAAGCTTGAGCTCAAGACTGCAGTGAGCCATATTTGTGTCACTGAATTCCAGCCTGGGTGACAAAGAGAGTCTCAAAAAAAAAAAAAAAAAAAAAGATTCATACTGGAAAGGTACAAATTGGTCAAAGGTCTAGGCTTTGTAATCTCCCAACTGTAGAGGTGACAGAAACTGGCTTTTTCCCAGAAAGAGGGACTAGGCCATCCAAACAGTCCCAACATGTCTGTTGCTTTCACAGCCGTGAAAATGATCACGAGAATGCCATTAATATGCCTAATGATCGCTCCATATATTGGACACTTACATATTAATGTGTAGAATACCACTTATGTTAAACACATACCGTTTGTGTGTTTAGACACACAAATATGAATATACTCACATACATGGATAAATGTGTGTGTAGGGAGTGTAAATAAGTAAAGGACATGCACGGTTATACATCAAACCGATTCCCTCAGGGCAAAAAGGGTAGGGTAGGGGACTGAGATTAGGCATAGTGTTCCCAGGAGACTTCACCCTTATTTAAAATGCTTTTATTTTTAATAAGAATGTATTTACTGGGTAAAGATTAGTTTCTCTTAAAAATATGACTCTAATCAAATTCCCATCAGGATTTTAATGGAATAATAAGCTAATTTATTAAATAAAAAGAACAGTAAGTAAACATGAATATTCAAGAAAAGTTTTTAAAAAGGAAAACATGAAAACATATCATAAAACTATAATGATTAAGGCTGGGTGTGGTGGCTCTTGCTTATAATCCCAGCACTTCGGGAGGCTGAGGTGGGCAGATTGCTTGAGCCCAGGAGTTCAAGACCAGCCTGGGCAACATGGCAAAACCTTGTTTCTACAAAAAATACAAACATTAGTTGGGCATGGTGGCATCTGTCTGCAGTCCCAGCTACTCAGGAGGCTGACGTGGGATGATTGCTTGAGCTTGGGAGGTGGAGGCTGCAGTGAGCTGAGATTGGGCCACTGCACTCCAGAAAGGATGACAGAGTGAGACCCTGTCTCAAAAACAAAAAACAAAACAAACAAACAAAAAACTATAATGATTAAAACAACATAGAATTGGTTTAGAATTTAATAAATAGATCAAAGTAAGAGAATCAGGAATTCAGAAACAGACCCATGTATGTGCAGGAATTTGGTAAATAAGACAGAGGGCTTCTTTTTTTCTTTTCTTTTTTTTTTTTTTTTTTTTTTTTTTTGAGACGGAGTCTAGTTCTGTCACCCAGGCTGGAGTGCAATGGCACGAGCTCAGTTCACTGCAACCTCCGCCTCCCAGGCTCAAGCGATTCTCCTGCCTCAGCCTCCCTAGTAGCTGGGATTACAGGCGCCCACCACCACGCCCGGCTAATTTTTGTATTTTTAGTAGAGACAGGGTTTCACCATATTTGGCCAGACTGGTCTTGAACTCCTGACCTCAGGTGATCCACCTGCCTTGGCCTCCCAAAGTGCTGGGATTACAGGCGTGAGCCACAGCAATAACCTTTTAAAGATGTATTCCTGCCAGACTGCTGGGTGCCTTTCTGTCTCTCTGCTTTATTGGCATTCGTCTCAGTTCTCATGCACTCGGGGTTTTCTCCACATGTTTTGTAGCCATGCAGATTTGATTTTTTTCCTGAAATAGTGCTACTGTGTTTCTTTTACAGGTGAGGAAAATAAGGCCCAAGGAATTAAGTGACTGACATAAGCACATATGGCTACTCAGTGGCAGAGGTTCCGGTGTGTCTGGCTACCGATCTTTTCCTATTTGGCTTCCTGCCCATCTCTGTCACTATCTTTCCCTCTGACTCTTGTTTCTCTCTCTCCTCCCTTTTTTACAAAGCTGCCAATTTTAACAAGTCCAAAATATTGTAGAGTTAAATGGTTAAGAACAAGGACTCTGGAGCCAGTTCAGTCACTGCCTGGGTTCAAATCTTGCTCTTCAACTTACTGTCTGTATGGCTGGGATGAGTCCTGTCACCTCTCTGAGCCTCAGTTTCCTCATCTATAATATGGGGAAAATGATTGTCCCTACTCTATAGGATTATTTTGACAATTCAATGAAAAAATATTATGTGCACAGAATGGCCCTAAGTGTTCAATACACATTAGCTATTTATGTTAATATGACATCAATAAAGTGCCCAAATCATCCCAAATGGGCACGTGAGTTTCCTGAGGCTGGGAACCACATCTTCCACTCCACAACTATTTAAAACAATTTCAAACCTACAATAACATTAAAAGAATACCCTGAACACCCATACATACTTCATCTAGATCTTCTATTAACATTTTTTTTTGGGCCACATTTGCTTTATCTCACTCTCTCTGTATATAAACACATTATTTTTGCCAAGTTATTTGCAGACATCATGACATTTTATCCCTTCATACTTAACTGTGTTTTTCCCAAGAACAAGGATATTTTCCTTCAATAGATATGATACCAGTACCACACTGCTATGGTTTGAATGTGTCCTCCCAAATTCATGTGTTGCAATGTAATTACCAATGTGATCATATTAAGAGGTGGGGGCCTTTAAGAGGTGATTAAGTCATGAGGGTAGTGCTCTCATAGATGGGATTAGGACTCTTTTTCTTATTTTTCATTTTTATTTACTTTTTTGAGATGGAGTCTCGCTCTGTCGCCTAGGCTGGAGTGCAGTGGCATGATCTCGGCTCACTGCAAGCTCCGCCTCCCAGGTTCATGCCATTCTCCTGCCTCAGCCTCCCGAGTAGCTGGGACTACAGGTGCCCACCACCACATCTGGCTATTTTTTTTGTATTTTTAGTAAAGACAGGGTTTCACCGTGTTAGCCAGGGTGGTCTCGATCTGGCCTCGTGATCTGCCCGCCTCGGCCTCCCAAAGTGCTGGGATTACAGGCGTGAGCCACCGCACTCGGCCTTTTTTTTTTTTTTTTTTTTTTTGAGATGAAGTCTTGCTCTGTCGCCCAGGCTGGAGTGCAGTGGCAAGATCTTGGCTCACTGCAACCTCTGCTTTTGGGGTTCAAGCGATTCTCATGCCTCAGCTTCCCAAGTAGCTGGGATTATAGGCATGTGCCACTACACCCGGTTAATTTTTGTATTTTTTTTAGAAGAGGTGGGGTTTCACCATGTTGGCCAGGATGGTCTCGAACTCCTGACTTCAGGTGATCTGCCTGCCTCAGCCTCTCAAAGTGCTGGGATTACAGGTGTGAGCCACCACGCCCAGCAGATTAGGGCTCTTATAAAGATGTTGAGGGTGTGGGTTCACTCTCTTCTGTTCTTCTGTCATGTGATGATGCAGCAAGAAAGCCCTCACCAGACACACAACCTGCCTGCACCTTCATCTTGGACTTCCCAGTCTCCAAAACTGTGAGAAATAAATTTCTCTTCTTTACAAATTCCTCAGTCTGCAGTATTCTGTTATAGTAGCACAAAACGACTAAGACACACACCCAGGAAATTTAATACTGATACAATACAATTATCTAATGTATGTTCTGTAATCAAATTTTGAGACCACGTCCTAATTTATCTGTGTGCTCGCAGGGACCAGAATAGGCAAGAGTGGAGGAACAAAGATGAGAAGAGAAAAAGTGGCTGAGAGGTCAAGGGAACAAATGAATGAGTGAGCAAGAATACAAACAAATGAATATGGGTGCAGAATGAGTGAATGAATAAACACAACTAGCATTATTATAATATGCATTGTTACATTTTGGTATTATAACTGAAATACATAATGCTAAAGCTATACCGTTATACTACATTATAAATCTGCATTATATATAATTATTACATACATGACTAGGTTATATGTTACAATAGTATAATACAATAGAATTATCATTATTAGAGATAACACTTTCTGAGCCTTCATTATGCAGTCATGCACCGTTTCAGGCATTTTATGTGAATTTCCCCTCACAATGGTTCTAAGATACAAGGCCTCGCAATGGTTCTAAGATACAATTTTCTCTTTACAAGTGAAGAAATTGAGGCCTAGTGGTTGAGCCAGGATCTATAGCTAGGACACCTTGCTACCCATCCCACCATGAGGGAGTGTATTGTGAGGGGTGGCATCACCCTATGGGGTAAAGGGGTCCCAGAGCAGTGCTCCCGGGGGCACTGGGTACTCACTGTCCTCCGAGGGCCGAATATCTACACGCAATTGCAGGTAAGGTTTGGAGGCAGTGGCAAAGGCTGTGCTGAGGTCCCAGTCAGATAGGAGTGAGAGGTAAACTTCCTGTCCTAGCCGGTCCCGGCCCAGGTAGCTGATGCCAAAGTTCTTCTTCCTGGACAGGGGATATGAGGGAGCTCTCAGGGCCCCTGATGCCCTGGAGGCCTCAGGGACAGTTTCCAAAACAAGGAGGGTAATATAGAAGGTGTTGAAAACAACTTCCTACTATGTGCAAGGTACTGTGCCAACGATTATGGGCAGCCTGAGATCAGGTCATTTATACCCACTTTGTTACACCAACACATACAAGCAGGTACATACCTGCTTGTATCTGGAGGTCACATTGGAAACTGGTAAAATGTTGGCCGGGTGCAGTGGCTCACGCCTATAATCTCCGCACTTTGGGAGGCCGAGGTGGGCGGATCACCTGAGGTCAGGAGTTCGAGACTGGTCTGGCCAACATGGTGAAACCCCTTCTGCACTAAAAATACAAAAAATTAGCTGGGTGTGGTGGCAGGTGCCTGTGATCCCAGCTACTCAGGAGGCTGAGGCAGGAGAATCACTTGAACCTGGGAGGTGGAGGTTGCAGTGAGCCAAGATTGTGGCATTGCACTCCAGCCTGGGTGACAGAGCAAGACTCCATCTCAAAAAAAACAAAAACAAAAACAAAAAAAATTTGGTTCCCTCTGGGGTAGATGAGGAACAGAAGTGGGATGAAAGCAGCCTTCTTACTACATAAAAAAAAATAAAGCAATCTGTGTTTGTTATTTTTCACAACAAAAATGTTTATGTAAGAAACTCTAATAGCAACTAAGAATTTATTATTCAGCTATACTTGTGCAACTATGTAGTTTGTTGCGTGATGCTCACCGTAACCATGGAAACATCCTAAATACCCAACAATTTTGTACTGTTTGAATTTCTTACCATGTGCATGTATTCCTCCAAAACCAGCACCACAACAAAATGACTATCACATCTGCCCCCAAAAGACACCACTTTTCAGTTATCAGATTAGCAAATTTTGCAGTTATACAGTAACCAGTGTTTGTGAGGGCGTGAGGGAAACAGACATTTATGTGGTGCTGATGAGATCATAAACTGATAAAACCTGTCTGGAGAGCATTTTGGAAACACCCATTAAAAGTTTAAAAAGCAGGCCAGGCACGGTGACTCACGCCTGTAATTCCAGCACTTTGGGAGGCCGAGGCGGGTGGATCACAAGGTCAGAAGATGAAGATGATCCTGCCCAACACGGTGAAACCCCATCTCTATTAAAAACACAAAAATTAGCCACGCATGGTGGCGCTACTCAGGAGGCTGAGGCAGGAGAATCGCTTGAACCCAGGAGGTGGAGGTTGCAATGAGCTGAGATCGCACCACTGCACTCCAGCCTGGGCGACAGAGTGAGACTCTGACTTAAAAAAAAAAAAAAAAAATTAAAATGCAAATACCCTTTTTCCTGACAATACCACTGCTAGGAATTTATCCCATGACTGGATGTTTCCAAATACATTACTCCCTCTTTATCTACAGGGGATATATTCCAAGACCCCCCAGTGGATGCCTGAAACTGCAGATAGTACCAAGACCTACATATACTATGTTTTTTTTTCATATACATACATACCTATGAAAAAGTTTAATTGATAAATTAGGCACAGTAAGAGATGAACAATAATAGAACAATTATGACAATACAGATGCTTTTTGACTTATGACAGGATTATGTACCAATAAACTCATCATAAGTTCGTAAGTTGGAAATACTGTAAGTTGACAATGCATTTGGCTGGGCGCAGTGCCTCACCTGTAATCTCAGCACTTTGGGAGGCTGAGGCGGGAGGATTGCTTGAGCTCAGGAGTTTGAGACTGCCCTAGGCAACATGGCGAAACCCTGTCTCTACTAAATATACAAAAATTGGCCGGGTGCAGAGGCTCATGAGCCTGTAATCCCAACACTTTGGGAGGCCGAGCTGGGCAGATCCCTTGAGGTCAGGAGTTCGAGACCAGTCTGACCAATATGATGAAAATTAGCTGAGTGTGGTGGCACACACCTGTAATCCCAGCTACTCGGGAGGCTGAGGCATGAGAATCGCTTGAACCTGGGAGGCAGAGGCTGCAGTGAGCCAAGATTGGGCACTGCACTCCAACCTGGGTGACAGAGTGAGACTCTGTTTAAAAAAAAAAGAGAGAAGATCAAAAAACTATCCGGGGCTGGGAGTGGTGGCTCACACCTGTAATCCTAGCACTTTGGGAGGCCGAGGCGGACAGAAAACTTGAGGTCAGGTGTTCGAGACTAGCCTCACCAACATGGTGAAACCTTGTCTCTACTAAAAATACAAAAATTAGCCAGGCATGGTGGTGCGTGCCTGTAATCCCAGCTACTTGGGAGGCTGAGGCAGGATAATCACTTGAACCCAGGAAGTGGAGGTTGCAGTGAGCCGAGATTGTGCCATTGCACTGCAGTCCAGGGAACAAGAGCAAAACTTCGTCTAAAAAAAAAAAAAGGGCCGGGCGCGGTGGCTCAAGCCTGTAATCCCAGCACTTTGGGAGGCCGAGATGGGCGGATCACGAGGTCAGGAGATCGAGACCATCCTGGCTAACATGGTGAAACCCCGTCTCTACTAAAAAGTACAAAAAACTAACCGGGCGAGGTGGCAGGCGCCTGTAGTCCCAGCTACTCCGGAGGCTGAGGCAGGAGAATGGCGTAAACCCGGGAGGCGGAGCTTGCGGTGAGCAGAGATCCGGCTACTGCACTCCAGCCTGGGTGACAGAGCCAGACTCCGTCTCAAAAAAAAAAAAAAAAAAAAAGTTATCCGGCATAGTGGTGCCGCCTGTAGTCCCAGCTACTTGAGAAGCTGCGACAGGAGAATATTTGAACCAGGGATGTGCTTGCTCGGCCTGCTGAGTGATGAGATGTCTGAAAAGATGATAAACGATGATAGAGGAAAAAAATGAAGTAAGATTTGTTTGTTCTGACATCTGGTTAGCTGGCGCTACGATTAAGTGCTCGACCGCCATTAACACGATTTAATAAGCTCATGCAACAAACCCTGCTTTTATAACAGTGTTGAATATTTATCAATTATTGAACATGCATTGAAAAGCAGAATGGCTTGCAGTACAGTCTCTACCAAATGCGTATCGCTTTTGCACCATTGTAAAGTTGAAAAATCCTAAGTCCAGTTATTGTAAGTTGGGGACTATCTGTAAACTGTAATATTGAATGCTGATGTGGTCTCTCTCTCTCAAATATCTTATTGTATCTATACATGTGTTGCAGACTGAGGTTGACCACTTAGTTAACTGAAACTGCAGAAAGCAAAACCACAGATAAAAGTGAGCTGCTATATCCAAGAGAGATGCATACGTGGCTGTTCACTGTGGGATTATTTTGTAATAATCATCAAACACAAACCCTGCAAACAAACAAGGCCCAGATAACGCAGGTGGGTGGCCCACTGCGTGATCCCAGCATCTTCCCGCTCACCCGCAAATCAAAGGCTCGGATGAGGATGTGCTGCAACAAATCAGCCGAGGTGATCTGAGGTCTAGCAAGGCGAACTCTGGCGGTAAACTCTCACATTTCTGAGGGAGAGAGAAGACATGGGGTAGGCCACCAGGGGCCTCATCCCCATGCTGAAGTGAGTGCAGAAGTGGTAGAAGGCAAGTCAGAGGTGCAGAGGCAGATCGACAGTGTTTGGATGCTGCAGGTCCAGTGAGAGAGCTACTGCAAGGGTTCAGGCCCCAATCCTTCTTCTATATATCCCTTCAACTGCCTTGGTTGCCAGAATCTACATATCCAGTCTGGCTCCTGTTAAATCAGTCCTCTATGATGCTGTAACCAATCTAGCACATCTACCTACAACACTCCTGCTTAAATCTCTTCAATGGCAACCCTAGAGTCCCAGCAAGTGGGCCTATAGGGCCCCAGCCAACCTCTCTTGGTTTTTGAACTATCTCTGTGGCTTAGTACCAAACTGTTCAAGTTACCTTGGGAAACCATCCTGACTCCAGGCCATTGATTGTGCTGATCCTATGTCTGAACATCCTCTCCCTTTCTTCACACGTAAGTTCCTCCCAGCTCAGGCATCTTTTTTCCTGAATGTCAAACTACCACCAGAGCTTTATTACACTGAAGTGATGTGTGGACCCTCTTATCACTGCCAGGTGTCACTGGTTGGTTGGAGCCACCATCATTGTTTGGAACAGCGATGTACCTCAGCATATACACCAAGGCCATGTGATCTCCACTCTGTGCCCTTTCTAGTTCACCTCTCCCCCACTCTCCCTCTCATTCTCTCCCACTCAGCAATCAGGAACCTACGGGAACATGCCAGGCTCCTTCCCATCCTCTAGCCTGCATACTATTCTTTCTGCCTAGAATACTCTGCTTCTAATATGCACCATGGCTAACTCCTTTGTTCATTCTCTGCTCCCTTCATTACCTCCTCTGAGATTTCCCTGTACAACCTTGGCTAAAGTGACTCCTGTTGCATAGCACCATTTATTTGAGTGTCAGGAAGCATCTCATTTCTTTAGTTGTCTCCACCCAAACATAGTTCATCAAAGTAAGAGAAGTACTGCAAAATCACACTCTCGGCCTATACAGGTTAGGCATGCAGCTCAGAGCCAGCACCTTCTCATTCCTCAGAGCCCCACCCTCAACTACTGCGGCCCCTCCTCCAGCCCATAGCCCCTCCCCTTTGTCTATAAGCTCCACCCATTTATCCCATGACCCAGTCTCTCCAGCACCAGTCCACGCCCCAGGTCACCGTCGCTAACGCTCCCAAGCTCTCAAGCCCTCCCTCCCCTTCGCCACCATCACTTGGCCCTCAACCGCCGCTCAGGTTTTGTCCCAAATCTCAGGTTCCGCCCCTCCATCCTCGGCAGCCACGCCTCCCCTCCCTGGGATGCCTCGGCGCCTGGGCCGACTCACCGCCAGCCTCACCTTGACTCGGACCGCACCACCTCTCACTCCTCCTCCTCAGCAGCACCGCCGCCTGGAAGCTCCACACGCCCGGGCGGGCGCTCGGGCCCAGACAAATCCGAAGCGGAGAGCTGTCGCCCATCCGCCGCCCGCCCGTCTCAGGAGTGACGGTCGGCCGTTGC